TTTGGCAAAAATAAAAAGTGCAGTAATGCCTAGAAGTTTTAATTTGACCATGGAGGCTATACAAGCTGATGAGACCTATCAACTAAGTTAACTGTTAAGAATGTAATAAACGAAATTTATAATGAACTTCAACAAGTTAGTCAACAAGAGTTGCCCTCTTAATTTTGCTTGGTTTTCCATATAATTATATTTTGGCATTGTTTCATTCTATTAATCACATGATGTGAAGAAAAATTATTATCCTTTAATATATGATTAATAATAATAATATTATTATTTAACCTTCCTCCATGAAAAATAGATAAATTATACTCTTAAAACTTTCAAATATCTACTACATCCATCATAGGATCATGCATTTATGTGAGGTCAATATCATCCCATTCTTGAGCTCTTGTTTTCTTTGCAAGGATCTTTTCTGATCCAGCTTCATAAAGTTCAGATTCAATAGTTGTATACAATACCAGATTAATAACAATATTAGGTTTTTTTTTTAACTATATTATCATTATTACTGATTTGTTGATTTTTTAATTGTTTTTTTAACAAGAAAAAACCCATGATTAACATTTATTATAATGTATTTTTTTTTTTTCAAAAATAACTAGAGCTTGGACTATGGCTTCTAATATTGCTCTATAACACTTACTCATATAATGCTTCTTCTCTACCTGTTTGTTGCTTTCTTTTTTTTTTCTTTTTTTAAACTAGTGCTTGAACTAGTGATTTCTAACATTGCTCTGATAACACTTACTTATTTACGTTTGCTAGTGTCAATAGTGCAGATGTCCAGATTTTAATATTAATTATTAAGTATAATCACGAATTTGTGTTACTGTTTTTTTAAAAATAAATAAAACTGCTCAATTAAAACTTTCAATGGAATATTATCTGCACAAAGTTACGACTATTCAAAAAATGGTGTAATTATTTTCTCACATGTTGCTTGATTGATGGTTCAATAAGTGTAAAATACTCTAATCTTTCATATGAATATTACTTTATGAGGATGTTGGTCAATAAGTTTTAGTTGCATCATCAGGGGAATCTTGGTCTGACTGATTATTAGCCTTATGTACATGAGGAATGTGAGCATGACTATAATTTTTGCTCTCAATATCCTGTTATTAATTGATTGATTGCTTGTGCTCCAAGTGATATACATGTTGTTTTTTTATTTTCATACCTGCAATTACAAAATATTAATAACAACTTTCCTATCAACAAGGCCAGTTAGTCTCAACCAAACTAGGTACAATGTCATTATCATTTTCTTCATGCCTACTTTCTTGAGAAATGTTGAAACACACATAAAAATAATAAAAACCCCCTTGGAAGGAAACATCCAAAATATACATTCACGTGATCATAGTACTGAACATCAAACTTGTTCTAATTTTAATTTATATAGAATTCCTCTTTGAATAATTAATAAAAATCTTTTTATTTATATTATTTATATATATGTTACCGGAATTAGATTTAGATGCTCTTTTGGCCGAATTTAACTAATTCCGCATTCTTAAATTTTTATTATTATTATATCTTATTTATCTATTTTATAATCTTATTTTATTAATTCGTATTATAGTATCCCCACACCAACCACAGAATTCATATTCTTCAATGAACAACTGCCAATTTAACTTCTGTGATAAAATCCTCCACTTTTTTCATAAAGACTTTTAAAACTTTTCACATAGTCTACATAGTAAGTGGATAATTAACTAATTATAATATAATAAATTGATTTGTTAATAATAATATCTTATATAACATTGTCAGCATTTAATAATTAATATCTACTTTATATGTTCCAAATGAATCCTAATAACAATATTAAATAAAATTTGAAAATCCAATCAATTTAATTTTAGAAATCAAGATTCCTTAGATATTGTATTCAAAATCCACCAGTTAGTTCATTCCTCGGATTTTGTAGTCAAATATATTTGCCACACTATAATGTAATTAACTGAAGATTTTGCATAATTTATGAATATGAGATCGCCAATTTAATTTTTAAACATGCGGTTGCGCGGAATTTAGTAATTGAATTTAGCAATGTGTCACAAAAAATAAAGTAATTGAATTTAGTAATCTCTCGCAAAAAATAAAGTAATTGAATTTAGTAATGTCTTGCGGGAAATAAAGTAATTGAATTTAGTAATGTGTTTCGAAAAAATAAAGTAATTGAATTTAATAATGTCTTGCAAAAAATTGATAATGAAATCCAAGAATTTAGAAATGTTGAAATTACTGGTGGAGAAATTATTAATTATGTAAGACCAGCAGCGAGTCTGAGCCAGAAGATGAATTATCAATTGTTAACCAAAAAATTATTACAAAATAGGCATTATAATCTTTAAACATTGTCCTTTCTTATATTCAAGATCCACCTGAAAATCTTACATTTGAATTTAAACACATTAATTCAATAAAAAGCAATTAAAAATCACATATCCAAACATACTGCTTCTAAAAAAAAACAAAGCACACTGGATAGTTAGATTATTAAATAATTATTTTTATGAAATTATCTATATATTATTTATTTATTTTTCTTTTTTATGTATTTTATAATTTTTTTTTAATAAAGTCGTATCACGGGATTTTTTGTAAAATTTTGCCGATCTTTTTATATATTGAAATCACACTATATATATAGCAGGGTTGGCATGATGGACATATGGACTGATGGACATTGGTCAAATGCTCACTTGGTCTATTGGTCTATTTAG